CTAGGCAAGTCCTCTACCACTGAGCTATAACCCCAGTCCTCTAAATTTTTATTTATTTATTTATTGTTATTTTTTGTTGATCCTAGGGGTGCTACCACTGAGCTACATCCCCAGCCCACCTTTTTTTTTTTTGATACCAGGGATTGAATCCAGGGGTGCTTTACCACTGAGACACATCCCCAGCCCTGTTTTGTATTTTATTTAGAGGAGGGTCTCACTGAGTTGCTCAGGGCCTCACTAAATTGCTGAGGCTGGCTTTGAACTTGTGATCCTCCTGCCTCAGCCTCCCAAGCTGCTGGGATTATAGGCGTGTTCCATCCCGCCCAGCACCAGCCCTTTTGTATTTTTTTTTTTTTTTTTTTTTAATTTGAGGCAAGTCTCACTAAGTTACTGAGGTTGGTCTTGAACTTGTGATCCTCCTGCCTCAGTCTCCTGAGTAGCTGGAATTATAGGTGTGCACCACAGCTTCTGGCTTTTTTTTTTTTTAAGTGCTGTGGATTGAACCCAGGGCTTTGGCATGTGCTACACCACCAGACCCCCTGACCTTTATCTTCTGTCTCTTAGAGCAAAAGGAGACACTTAATAAGTGCTCGATGAATATGTGTTAAATAAATATTTGTTGAAAGAAGTCACCGAAGGGAACACCTGCTTATGTTAATAGTGAAAACAGCCCAGGGAAAAATTTGGATACTGAAGCACCACCCTCCTTTGCCTGGCAAGCAGGACAAGAATAAGGCCATTCTTGGCACATGCCACTTGTCTTAGCCTGTTGCTGGAATCACTTGTGTGAAACCAGTACTTACTCTCTGCCAGGCAGAAGGTCAGCCCAAGAGTGAGCTGATCTGTGGGCACAACACCATCTCTCACCCAGGAGGCTGTGATATTATTTCGCTGAGGATGACAGGTGGGGGAATCTGGGCACCAGTTGTTCTTTTCCACTGGTATTGTTTGGAGGGTAGCTCCAAAGTCGGGCACGCCAGCCTACGTGCCTCTCCTGCCGGCAGAGGCTCCACATTGGAGCTATTAGAATGCGGGCTCTGTACATAGGCCAAGTCCATGTCTCAGAGACCATACCCAGAGCACAGAGCAGCCACAAGGCTCCTAAGTGAAGAAAAAGAGTTGTTTTCCCATTCAATCCACTATTGGCCAGGCCAAGGTTCTAAGTCTTGATTGGCAGCATTTGATTTGGGGGCACATGGCTTTAAAGGAAAAGTAATTTAGTTTTGAGAAAATGATAGACTCTTCTACAAGGCAGAGAAACCCCTAGGCTGTCAGAAAGTGAAGATTCCAGTGGTATGATTTTCCCCTTTGTGAGCTCTCCTTTCCCTCTGCACATGCTCGCCCAGGCACTCCCTCACCAACCCAATGTCAAGGCAAGTTGACTTAACAGTGCCCTTTTCTTGAACTTTTTCTTAATTTCTTCTTCAACACAACCGTGTTGGTTCATTCAATTTGAACGTTTAAGGGGAAAAAAAAAACAGTGTTATGCTGTGAAAATCTTATCTTACTTTGTATTTTGAGAGTGGCTCTGTGGACTCTGTGGTATATTCACATTGCATGCATTCTTATTTATGCATTTAATATAAAAACTGAACAAAAGTATCACGCTTTGTGGGTGTACTAAAATGAAAAATCTGTCAATACTAGGAATCAAGCAACATTTCCTGCTACTCTTTTATTCTTTATTACTCATCCTGATTTGTCTTACCATCTGTAAAAAGAAAACCAGTTAATAAGGTGACATTACCTGTGGCATTAACTATCCCTTTATTGGTATAAACTTCATAATATTTGCTTGCTAAAGTGTTTTGTTCACTTCAGGAAAAAAAAAAGTTAACTGTGCTTGCAATTCAAGAAGTTGCTACTAGGTGGCAGTAGTGTACAAGAACTAAATTAAATTGAATAAATGAGACTAGTCTATCTTCCCATATTTATAAGAAGTAAAATATAATATTGTCAAAACACTCAAACTAGCATAAACATTAAACATTTATCAACTGAGTTACCAGTTTTAGACTGAGTTTTTAACAGAGAACATTCATTTTTAAAAGAAATTTTGAATAGGGAATACATTTATAAGTTCTAAAACCTAAAAATACAAAAAGCTATACAGTGACAAGTTTTTCTCCCATGCCTGTCCCTTAATTCTCACAGGTAATTAATTTTATTAGTTTCTTGGGTATCCTTTTAGAGTTTCTCTATGTAAATACAGTTATATATTCTTATCCCACTTGATTTTAACACAAAGCAGTACATAGAGTTTCTGCATCCTTCTTTGTGGAGTTGCCTAGTATTACATTGTATGAATATTACATAATTAACATGTCTATTAATAAATATTTTATGCTGTTTCCAATTTTATGCTATTGCAACCATGTATTTGTAGATTTCACATATAGTATAATTCATAGAAATGGACTTGCTGGGTCTAAATTATATACTTTGCATTTCAAAAAGATATTGCTAAATTGGCCTCTACAGAGTTTGTACCAGTTTATACTGTACTGTCTCCAAAATGGGCCTGTTTTCACACAGCCTTGCCAATAGGGTGCAAAACCAGAATTTGGAATCTTTGTAAATCTGATTGGTTGAACAGAGTATTTCCAAATACTTAAATTTTCATTTCTCCTAAATGCATGACAGTGTTTAAGGGCCCTTTATGTTTCCTTTCCTGTGGAGAGAATGGAAATGCCAACAAACACAGCCATTCATACACATATATAGAGATTTGTTAATGGTGTTGTTGCTTGGCTTTGCCATCATGCTGTATGTGTTTTTCTTTAATTTGCTCTAAATTGCCACCACTTCATAGCTATGGGTTCATAGCTCATTTCATATGCTTATTTCGTACCTTCTAGCCATGGCTCTGAAGAGAAGTTGCTGGCAAATGGGGAGGGAGAGCCAAAGCTGGAATGTCTGCTTTTCCCTTCATCCTTTTGCCATTGATTCCCAGGGGAAATATCCGTAGACTGGAGTGGTGAAAGGAGAAATCGAATCAATTCTCTTTCTGAGACTAATTAAGGCTTCAAAGAGACAGATAACCACTTGGGATAATTTAGTCATATTGAAACTCAGGAAATAGTAATAATATTGCATCCTCTGAACATGGACCCCAAGAAAGTTCTGGCTTTTTGAGTTGAAGTCTTGGTGAGTTTCAGGATCATGTGTATAGGAAAACCTAGCCCAGCCAGCTGTTAAGAAAACACAAAAAATGCTCCTTAAAATTTGTTATTTACACATATTAATTGTATATATTAATGGGATTCAGTGTGATATTTCATACATTCATACAGTGTGTACTGATCAAATTCAATCGCCCTTCAAAAAAAATGCTCTTCTGCGTCCTTGGCTGATTTGCGACTTTGGACACAGGTTTGCTCCATTTTTAATGAAATATTACCATTAGTATGCACATAAAGAAAAGGGAAGCAAGCTTATATGAAAATGGGGTCTCCTCATACCTTCTGCATATGTAAATGGTGGTAGTTGAACCCATAGCTATGAAGAGGTGGCAATTTAGAGCAGAAGGGGACAATAGATGCCATCTCTGTCAATTCCCCTACACTACAGATGAGGAAATGGGCTGGGAGAGTTGAAGTCAGCCGTACAACATGCTCAGCAGTTGCCATGATTTGAATCTAGGTGGGTTCCCTTCTTAGTGGTCGGCGCTGCCTTTTCTACAGAACTTCTTGGAAACGCATGTACTCAGACTTTGCCATTATGGGGTTGTGCTGCTCTGAAGCAGCCGTATCTCACACACCTTTTCCCACTTAAGATTCTGTGCTCCATAATTGCAAGACAGATAATTGCAGTAAGGTGGTTCTGAGGTCACTTTATTAGGGCAAAATGAATTGGCTTATACCCACTTGAATTTCCTATCTTGATCATATCAATACTTTCCTCTGTTTATTCAGACTGACTATGAGTAGGTAGGAAATTAAAGTAAAAAAGTTGAACTATGAACAGGACAATTGAAGTTTGATCTGAAATACATTTGAAAGTTTTTCTGAAGCTTTAATTATTCCATTGCTTTGGTTTGGGTTGTAGTATTAGCGCCCCACTCCCAATCCAATTTTCCTCAATGTTTGCAAATATTTTTGGTACTTTCTATCTTCTGGTGTAATAAAAAGCATCAGTGTGGGCCTTGTAGGGGGGTGTTGTGAGGTGATTTGAAGAGCTTTGTGGACCCCAGTACTTTGACCAAAAGCTATGGTTAAAAGAACAAAGCAAATTTCAGGAAAATTGGTATAGCATAATCCCACTTTAATGCTAAGTCTCTGCTCCGTTGACCACTTTCCTTTTCAAATTACACCATGGGCTCAAGCTACAAAGGCTCTGCAGAAATGTGTGACTCTGTTGGGAAATACACATGTGCTGCCTTAGCCACACTGGAGGCCATTGAGCATAATGTGTATTTCAGATGTAGTTTGCCAGTGACGCTGGGTGGCATGGGGCTTAGAGCAAAAACAGGATGAGCCTGGAGCACAGAAATGGAAAATTAGGTGGGTGGGTGGGTATGGACTTGGAAATGGAAAACATGCTCCCAAGGGACATGGCCTACGTTCATTAGTGCTGACCTACCTCCCCTCCAGCCTCGTAAGCTGATGTTGATACCAAAGCTTCCTGGGAAACTGCCTAGACCCTCCCATTCCTGCCAATGAAAAATAAAGATGAGAATGTCCAATTTAGTTATCCTGTGGCCAGAATCACATATTTAATCTTCACTATGAATTTGAATTATTCTTGCCCCTAGAAACATGGACTCTAGCAATTCAAGTCAACATGTACTTCTATTAAACCATCATGCCCACCTCCAAATATGTAGCATAAGCACTGGGGGAAGGAAGTGGAATGAATGACAGTTTATGCTAATAACACTCTAGAAACCAATATTCTCCACCCAAAATGGCATGGAAAAAATTCTACCTAATACCTCCTAGGTTCCATTAATATTTCTGGGTAAATATTTCTGGGGAAAATAATACCTATTTTCATTCCAGCTGTGCAGCAGATACTATGATGATGGATTCCAAGTGCAAAGAGTAAGACAAAAACTCCGGCATACAAAGGACAATGACAACCATAAAGCTTCAGCCAGATCCTGCCCTTGCCTTGAAAGGAACTGGATCCTAGGACGCGAAGGCATTGCCAATTTTTTGTCCTCTGCCTCCCTCTGCTGTTCTTCTGGAGAAGTTTTCCCTCACAACAATGAGAAATCATGTTCTAGCTGCATCTTTTTCTATGCTCTCCCTGCTGGCGATAATGGGAGATACAGACAGCAAGACAGACAGCTCATTCATGATGGATTCAGACCCTCGACGCTGTATGAGGCACCACTATGTCGATTCTATCAGTCACCCATTGTACAAGTGTAGCTCAAAGGTAAGATCAATGTCTCTGGGAGTATAGCACCATGCTCTCCAAAGAAAGAAAGAAAGAAAGAAACCCCAAAAAAGGAAGCCATATTTCTTTGTCAGGGGATGGAGAACTAGAGTCATAGTCCAAACCTAGGGCTTGTGGGAGAATCCTTTTTGAAGATTTTCCACAATGCATTGCACTATTGTCAGCCCAATCAAGCATGTGTACACCATGGATGGTTGTCTTTGTCCCTGCCTGTGAAATTCATGAGCAATAGTGTCCTTGTTCAAGAAAGGAAAATGGATCCTGCAAATTATTGTAACTCCTTCTACCTCTGATAAAGAGAAAGTGAATGCAACATATAGCTGAACAGTAGAACATATTTCTTGGAGGGCTCTTCAGGGAGTTTCCTGGTAAAATACTCAGTAACTGTCTCTGTGGCCTGAGCCTTTTTCTCCATGTGCCATGTTGATGTTAAAATGATTTCAAAAGATAACTTGGTGATTTCATAGTTGATCATTTTATATTGGTTATCCAAATCATTCTTGTTTGGAGTAGGTGGCATGTTTTTCGAAGAGGCAACTGCCTCAGTGTTGAGACAAGGTGTGAGAAGGAAGATCATGCTTAAAAGACCACCAAGAATGGCCAGCCACATGGGCCACCCAGAAGGCAGGCACACTGGAGGGTGGAATGGACTCCAAATGAGAGTTCTCGTGACTATCACTGCCCCCAGTCACATGAATGAAATTTGTCCACACTTGGTAAATAAGAATTTGTTTAGCCCAACCCCAGAGATTGTCAGTTAGTCCTGAGACTAAAACCACTTAAGCATTCTCATATGGCAAGTATTTTTTAAATTGAAAGTATAATTAAGAATTTTTTTGTAATATCAACCAGGAGAATTGAGACCATATAAGTCAATCTCTCCACCCTCTATTTAAAAACATCATAACTTCAGTCTGCTTTTAAATTTTCCATAACTTCCATGATTATAGCCCAATGAAGATGACTTGTTTTAGTTTTGGGGGATCAAAATTTGACTTAAATCACTTTAACCATTATATTAATAAGACCTATGACTGTGGGAGAAAATAGAAATTTTCCATTTAAGAAAAATGTCCTGGCTCTTATTTGTACTAAAACTAAAAAAAAAAAAAAAAAATGTAGTCAATAGACAAATGTAAATTTCGGCAAGGCTAAAATCCCTTCTTAGGAAAAGGAAACTAGGGACTGGGGGTGGAGCTTAGCTCTAGTGTGAAGGCCTGGATTAGATCCCCAGCACAGCACAAAACAAACAACAACAAAAGGAAAACAAAATGAGGGAAAAAAAATACAAGAAGTATTTTTGCAACTATGATTGCTTAGAAATTGCAGGCCCAAGTAAGGATGACGAGAGTAATTGTTCGTTTCTCTTCTCTTCCCCATTCAGAAGCACATAGCACTAATATTTAGTATTGCTTATTCCACAGATGAATTCTCCATTGTTGAGTTATTCATGGTTGTGTGATTCTTTTAAAAAGAGAAAGGAATTAAAATTATTTCAAAGAAAGTGATATTGTAAAAGTAGGAAAGAACACAGAAAAGGGGGATCTGTAAAATCTCATAGAAGGACTGGGGATGTGGCTCAGGGGTAGAGCGCTTGCCTGACATTCATGAGGCCCTGGGTTTCATCCCCAGAACTTAAAAAAAAAAAAAAAGAAAGAAAGAAAAAGAAACTCAAAAATAGTCTGAAAAGTCTGGAAAGATCAGGCAAAATGCTTTAGCAACTACCACAGTGACCTGAAGAAGGTCACACAAGACATTGTTAACTCCAATTTACAGACCTGGAGCATGATTCATGGAAACAGACTTTAGAGTCTACTGTTGTTCACCTTTTTTTTTTTTTTTTTCCAGAATGCCACAGTAAATGACAGTGCAAAATTGTGATAATAGGAGAAATGTTTGTAATTTCATGGGAACAATCTGTTTTCAAACATCTCAAACTCTCCCAAATATAGCAATAGTTTTATGTAAATGGTGCTTATAATTATAAACCTTTCTTCGTTGGCCATAAAATATGCTTGGCAGAATTTCAGCTACTCAGACCTTTTCCGGATTAGATTTTCTCTATGTATCCAGCAAGAAAATTGTTTTCATTTGGAAATATTCTATAATTCTTAACTTTTGGACTCAGGCTGATCTTCTCTCTTAATAGGACTCATTTAATGAGATTGTTTGCCTTTAGAGACTTGGGATAAAACATTTAGCCCATGTCTAGAGAGAAGGGGCTAAGGTAGGTTTTTCTTCTCTATGAATATTTTCCCTGACATCATGGCCAAGGCCATTATTTAGTAGATACTTGCCTACTGTATTATATATATATATATATATATATATATATATATATATATATATATATATAATGCATATAGAATGTAGGAGCCGCTATTTAGAAATCCAGTCCCAATTTTTGGCCTGATGGCAATAATTACTCTACCAACAATAATAATTGATATCTAGCAATTTTTCTACAAAAAATAAATAACAGTGAAAGTTTTTCTGGAAACTTCCAGTGTTCACCCTAGCCCTGAACTTGCACTTGGCCAGTCCCAGGATCCTGTTGCCCATATCCTAGCAATTCAGAAAAGGGCAGAGACAGAGTCAGGTTAAAGAGACTGAACCACCAAGGAGAAGAGTATAGCCACAGTTTAGGATGTACCTGACTTTGTAAGTAGGGACACCTCCTGGGCTTGGGTACAAAAGGTCCTGGGAGTGGCAAGTTCATTTGTAGCCTTCTCAGGATAACAGGTTAAATTCTCTAATTTACACACAAAAACTAAATTCTTAGTGAGTAAAGGCTGTTGAGCAAACACACAGGAGGTCAGTGGTTAGGGGAAATGGGCTGCTAGAAAATGTTTAAGGGAATCGGTGCTTTGTTGTCAGAGTCCTTGTTCCCAATTCCAGCTTCATGGCTTGCCAGATAGGTGACTTTGGGAAGGCTAAGCCATTCTTTGATGCCCCAATTTCTTCCCATGCAAAATGGATTAATCTATTTGAGGGCAAGGGTATGTCCACATGTCAGCGAGAGTATTTGTAAAATGGCCAGCACAATGTCCAACATAGAATAGACATTTAATAAATGATATTATGATCTTGATGAAGAAGTTATAAACTAGACAGGTGTTTCCACTCACTTTTCTATTTCAGTCACCACTGAGATCTCAATAACTGTTGGGATCTCCTATAGCCTTAAAGGATTAGGAAAATGAACCTCATTGTGGTTTTCACTGGACAGAGTGTGGGGTAATAGAGCAAAGTGAATGTAAGCCACTAACCTGGGTGCTAAGAGGCAAGATAAAAGTAAAAGAGAAATAGATCCTGCTGTCTGACCTCCCTTATCAGGTGAGTGCAGGAAAGAGGGACTATGGGTGGTGGTGATGGTGGGGGTGGGAGATGAGTTCTGGTCCTGAGCCAAGGAAGGGTTTCAGGAAGCCAGGTTGGGAAAGTGAGCTGGTCGGACAGGTCTGTGCAGACTGAGCTGAGTGAGAAGTGGGAGATGGTGGCCCCAAGCGAGAGCGTGGATCCAAGGCACCGTTATCTGAACTCTTAAGGGCTATAGGAATGGGAGGTGCCCAAAAGGCAGCAAGGAAGGAGAAAGTAGAGGGTTTAGGGGACAAAGTCTATGAAAATTTCCAGAGGAAAATGGACCTGGCATGCCAAGGGCTGATCCTCAGGATCTAGAGGGAGCTGTTTGGAACCCCTCAAGCTATCTCCTATTGCTACCCAGGAAGTTTATAGTATGGTAGGAGAAATGAAGGGATTCAGGAACACAACACAATTGATCACTTGAAATATGACTTGGTTTTAAAAATGGGAACATTTATACTGAATGCCTACTATATACAGGCACTGTGGGAGGTGATGGACACAAAAAGTGGAAAGAAAGAAAGGACAGGAAGAAAGTGGAAAGAAGGAAGGAAGGAAGGAAGGAAGGAAGGAAGGAAGGAAGGAAGGAAGGGAGGGAGGGAGGGAGGGAGGGAAAAGAGGGAGAGAGAAGGAAGAAAGAAAAATAAGGAGTGAGGGGAGAGATAGTTCACACTCATAATGCTTACCAAAACAAGGGAGAGAGGAACAGAAACTCATACACAGAAGAACCTGTGCACAAAGGCCTCTTAATGCCAGTTGGATTCGTGACCCTAGTGATAGTATCAGATTCCAGTTGGAGTGAGCTGTGTTTCCACTCAAACTTTCAAAGCTCCCTCTACCCCATGCTGATTTGTTCCCTGGTTGCTATTTTGTTGGTGTCCTCAGCCTGGCACAGACCCTTTGGAGGTTGAGCTGGGTCCCTGGAGATTAGCTAAACAGTCATTTATTGAGGCTGCTGGTGAAGGAAAGAATGGGAGAAGAGTCATGGGTGAATCTTATTCCCCAGGGGAAAGGGGGTACCCTATAAAAGGGGTACACAGTGTTCACTGGTGAGGAAAAAAGACAAAATATGTTTCCTACTCAGTTGGAGTAAAATAGCCCAAATGTTGGTTTAATGTGGGACAAATGGATCTTTATTCTGATGCTAATGGGGACTCCTAGTCACTTAGAGCTTGGAAGATTTAGCTCTGCTTAAACTTGGGGATGATGATGCTGTGTCCAATGAAGCCCATAGGCAAAAAGTTAGGAGGTGGGTGTGGCTCAGTGGTAGATCACTTGGTAGCATGCCTGAGGCCCTGGGTTCCATCCCCAGGAAGGAAAATAAGAGAAAAAGAAAGAGAGGAAGGAAAGAAGGGGGAGGGAGGGAAGGAGATGGAGAGAGGGAGGGAGGGAGCTAGAAAGAGAGAGGGAAGGAGATGGGTGAGGAAAGGAAAGGAAGAACAAAAGAAAAAGAAAGGAAGGAAAGGAGGGAGGGGAAAGTAAAGGTAAGGAAGAAAAAAAGAGGTTAGACATGGTCAGGGCTCCCAGAGGCGGGGCAGTGTAGGTTAAAGAAGAGTGTAAGGGCTGGGGATGTGGCTCAAGCGGTAGAGAGCTCGCCTGGCATGCGTGAGGCCCGGGTTCAATCCTCAGCACCACATACAAAGATGTTGTGTCCGCTGAAAACTAAAAAATGAATATTAAAATATTCTCTCTCTCTCTCTTTAAAAAAAAAAAAGAAGAGTGTAAGTCAGCTCATGTCTTGGGAAAACCTCGTATCAGGAGGCAGGTATTACAGTGGTTTAGATAGAGAGCTTGGATTCAGATAGACCTAGCTTTGATTCCAGATCTGCCTTTTTCTAGATATGTGAGTTTGGGCAAGTAACTGAAATTCTCTAAAGCCTCAATTTTATGATCTTCAATAGTATCACAGATCATTGTAGTATCTTTTTTTAATTAGTTATTGACAGACCTTTATTTTTATTTATTAATTTTTATGCATTGCTGAGAATCAAACCCAGTGCCTCATATATGCTAGGCAAATACTCTACCACTGAGCTACAACCCCAGTCTCCATTGTATTACCCTTTGTGTAGTATTGAGATAAGCATGCAATATACTACTCATGTTGTAAGCACTCAATACTATTAGCTAAATGGTTGCTCCTAGTGATCCATCTAGAGAAGAGCCCTCAAACTTAAATAAGTCCAGAGTCTTGCTGTTCAAATTGTGGTTATTGGCAAAGCATTATCTCCATTAACTGGAATCTCATGAAAAATACAGAATCTCAGAATCTCTTTGAACTACTTAAGAGAAACCTCCATTTTGACAACAACTCAGATAATTCACATGCACATTGAGCCAGATGTTCATTAAGTGCTGAAACACAGATGAGGCATGACTGAGGCTAAAATGTGAGCTATCAGGAGTAAACACAGAAAGGAAATGGTTATCCTTCCCCTGCTAATTGATACCCATTTATAGATCTTATCTTCCAAACTCCTGCCTTGTCCCTCACCACACACACAATAGATAGATTTCCATCCATTTCCATCTATTTTGAGCTGAGATCTATATACTAAGATATCCTAGAGACAGTATGTGTGTGTGTGTGTGTGTGTGTGTGTGTGTGTGTGTGTGTTGAGAACATCGAGGGTTCAATAATTGGTTCATGATGATGTTGTGTCACATGAAGCCTATAAGAAAAAGGAGGGGACATTTGAATTTGGCTAAAGAGTATAGATAGGTGGGATTTCCTTAGGCTGAGCCAGGCAGCAAGGACATTCCTGGGAGAGGCAAGACAAGAGCAAAGGCCAGAGGCAGGAGAATTTGGGGCAGTTCCATGGACTCCTAAGTAATTAAGCTTGATGCAGCAGGGACAGCTGTCAGTAGGACTGAAACAGATACTTGACACCCGGGTCATGGAGGGCCTTGACTCCTGTTCAAGATTTTGAACTTGTTTTGAAGGTTAGGGGCAGCTACCCTGAAGGTGTTTATTGTATATGGTTGGGCATTATTCTTGTGCAGAAAGTCCAAGTTCTGAGGAAGAAGGGCCAGGTCCATTGCAGGTGGCCCCAGGTCCTTTGGTGCTGTAATTCTTGTCCTTCATAGTGGGCTGGACTTGGAGCTTGGCACACTGAAAGCTTTTAGTGAAATCATAATCAGGTTAGCTCATCTGTAAATGGCCCTACACTGCTAACTTGGTCATTTTAGTATGGGCATCTAATGACCTGATCTGTTAGGTCTATGTTTGGCTCATGTGTGTCTGTACCACACATTTCCTAAGTCTGTTGGCACAGGATCACTGTATCCACCCCAAACTGGATCTCCAAAGACTCCATTTGGGGAAGGGACTTTTTTCCCCCCTGATGCTAAGGATCAAACCTAGGGCCTTGCTCGTGCTAGGTAAGAATACTGACACTGAGCTAGATCCCCAACCTTAGGGAGGTGACTTTGAATAACTGCTTAATCTCCCTAATAGATGATCTACATTAGAGATCAACAAATTTAACACTGCTCCAAGGTGAAATGTAAAACAGACATGGGGAGAAGGAACCAGAAAAGATCTTAGATATCTCTTTCTCCCTCCCCTTCTCTAATTAGAGAAATGGGGGTAGACACTAGGGACTGGCCCATATACTATAGACCTATGACATAATCTCCTAAAACCTGTTTTAGATCATGTTTATTTTGCCTATCAGTGAAAAAGAAAGCAGAATAGAATTAAAAGCTTTAATAAAATCCAAACAGATTACAGCTGCCATTTTCTATCTGCCTATATGATCTTTCAGAAAAAATAAATCAGTTGCTCTAATCCAACTTATTCTTTCCCAAGCCCTACTTTTTCTTCTTTTTCTTCTACTATCTCATATTTCCTTTGTAGTTGCTTTGTGATTGTTCAATTTACCCCCAGCATCTTCTCAGATAATTATATTAATGATCTATAATTATCAGAAGTCATCTTTTCCTTCTTTTGGAAAGATAGGCTAACCATTACCTTCTTTTAATCTTTGAGTGTTTAATTATGCCCTATAGGATGATGTCAGAGGTAATAGCTGGTATCTTCAATCCCTGAAATATCCAAAACATCATAAGGTAAATGTCAAAAGGTTTCGTGCATATATATGTATTCTTTGATCTTTTGTTTGAACAGTTCCACTTTTATGATCTTGCTATTGGTTCTGGAATTACAGGGCAACTTGTTTGAAATTCACCAAGCAAGACTCTGCCACATAAACATGGGTGTTGACATCCACCCCCTCCCCCCAGTATTAGGGATCTAACCCAGCACCTCTGCATGCAAGTCTTCTACCATTAAGCTATGCCTCCAGCTCTGATGTGTTGATTTTGTTTTTAGAGTTTACCAGATGATTTTATTATGCAACCAGGAATGAGACCCATGGGTCTATCTAGCAGCAATTGGCAAGCATTGTTAGGGCTTTTCAAAGGATGCTGTGGTACCTGACTGAGGGTAACCATCTCTTCTCATTTCCCCAGATGGTGCTCCTGGCCAGGTGTGAGGGGCACTGCAGCCAGGCATCACGCTCTGAGCCCTTGGTATCCTTCAGCACTGTCCTCAAGCAGCCTTTCCGTTCTTCCTGTCACTGCTGCCGGCCCCAGACCTCGAAGCTGAAGGCTCTGCGGCTGCGCTGTTCCGGGGGCATGCGACTCACCGCCACCTACCGGTACATCCTCTCCTGTCACTGCGAGGAATGTAGCTCCTGAGACCTGCTGCGAGTGGCTGGGACAACCACAGAGGCAGTTCAAACATCCAGGAGAGGACTGGCAAGAGAAGAGTTAAGGCAAATAAAGATGCAGTCATTCCCAGGGGATTCTGCATATTCTAGTAATAAAGACTCAATGCGCTTCTTGACAGACAGCTACTCTGGGAACTTGTTTTCAGTTCCCATCTTCTTTCCCTGGTACATTTTCTTTTGGTTCCTTTTCAGATTCAGGCACTTCCCCTCTTGGCTCTAAATGCTGTTTGGGTTTCCAGCAATTCTGCATTAGTGGGAAAAAGTGGGGCCCCATGCAAGAGTGTGTCAGGCTGTCACTGTTTGGTACATATTAGGGAAGAATTTGCTTTGGAAGGCAGGAAAGCTCAACTCTTCCTAGGACATCTTTCATTATATATATTTTTTAATCTTGTCATTATGATCCAAGGTTGCCATGGCCACTAAAAGTTACCAATTTCAAATTCCAGACGCCAAGCATGTGGATATGTTTAGCAAGGTTTACTCACAGACAGCTAACTGACATTAAAATAACTAACAAACCGATTCTGTCATGTGATGCTGGGACTCTTGACAGCTCTAATTGTTATTCAGAAGCAACTTTGGGGAGGTAAAGGTGGCATAAAAATTTGTCACTTTAAGGCTCTTGTGGATAAATTATGATAAAATTTTGTAAGGGAGCAAACTTTTAAAGACTTGCACAGATATGGATCCTGACTGACTTTGGAAAAGGCATATATGTACTAGTGGCATGGAGAAGGCACTGTACTCATGCATGCAAATTAGACAACCAAGTCTGAATCTATTTGTGGGTGTGCTATAGCTTTAACCATGTTGCGGGCATAATTCTTTAACGTCCACTTGTCCATGCGAGACTGGTTGCCATAATGGTGGCCTGGCTCATCTTCTGAACATTTGGTTTGAATATATTTTGGTCATTGAGGCTCAAATTTTGAGTTATTCCCATGTTTTGAAATAAAAACAGAATACTTTCAAAAATTTGGCTGTGTAAGTATTGTTTTTCTTGTTTCTTTCTCTTCAATGTTGTATGGTGATGTGGATTGTAAGATTCATGTACCTGGTGCTTGGCCATAACCTTTAATATGGAAGGAAGGTCCAAAAAAGAGGGAGATGTGATTCCAGAATGAATGGTGGACACAGTTTTAAAACATCAGAGTATTAAGGTTGTGAGGGCTTAAGAAATTTGGCTAGTGTCAAAATTTAGCCTGTTGAAGGAAGACAAAATCTGGTGCATTCTGACATCCTTAGATGCTATGGAGAGAAACAGAGAAGCCACCTCCTTTTTAATCTCAGAAGGCAATAGTATCTCTAAGTGAATCTAAAGAGTGAGCAGGAGGACACAAACAATAGTTTCTGTGCCATTGACAGTCCAGTGCTCTGAATGCAATATTGTTACTGAGCATTACAAGAATACTCATAATTCTAGCATAGTGCTATGTCCACTCTAGGTATCTCAATACTGACCCAGACTTGGCAACTTGGTTTCCAAGGCAACCTTGACGCCATGCTGTCCTGGTTAACCAGAGATGACAGTGCTTCCCACTGTTAGCACTGCTAACCTGTGAATTACTTTTCCTGTAGAGATGATGATTTTGTATGCTCTTTGGCACCACTTTCACACATTTTTTTTAGAAAGCCAGCAGGGTTAAATTTGTATTTGTGACTTTGAAACAGAATGAAACTAATGCTATCCAACCTTGACCTTGATTTTAACTTTCATGGTTATGGAGCCAGCCAGTCCAGTAAATTGGAGGTTCTCCCTATTCTGAAAGCAAATGTGAAATAACAATTTGGACCATTACGTGAAGAGAAATTTTGTCATATAAATAACTAAATTCAATACTGAAGTTAAATTGTTATAATCCTTAACTGATAATGAAAGTATTAACTGCTAGCTGCATTTATAGCTATTCTTTCATGTTGCTAATCAAAAAGTGAAAGCAATAATTCTAGCTTTAAACTGTCTCTTCTTGGCTTTGAAATCTCATTTTTGCCTTTGAACTCTGTAAGATAGACCCCCCAAACTCCAGTCTTGATTGCCTTCCTACTAATTTGGTACTGGAGGAGTGAGTTATATGACTCATATCTTCCAAATTCTCCAGAAGCCATAGAAAATGATCTTTTCAAATACCATTACATGGTCTATTGTCAAAACGTCTACCATGGAAATGAGCAGAATATGCTTGGAGTATTAGAGGACATGGGACAGTAGTATTTTAAGGGCTAGTAAAAGGCATCCAGTATCTTCTCTCCCTAAATATATGAACAATTGGAGGCCTGAAGAAATCCAGGAACTTGCAGAGAGTCACACATTTAGTCTTGAAACTGGAACTAAAGCCTAGGCTCCCTATTCCCCATAGCCATGGATGTTTCCCCCTCACCAGCCAAGAGTCTCACTCCTTTTTGGATCTCGGATGCTGAAAAGGGTTAATGGGCTGGAAAAGAGTGTGAGATAGGGTAAAATTCAGTGGCAGCATACAAAAGCTGAGAGAGAGGAAAAGGAGTTACATTTCCCCCCAAAGACCCCAAAATAGCCCTGGGAACTGAGAGAATCCAGACATTATTGGATATTAAGTTACTATGGAATCTGTATTATATCTTTTAAAAATTAAACGTATTTAGCCTTATTTTAGTGTTTACCCCTAAGGATTCAGAAAGAACTAAATGAAAACATTGATCAGTTACGAGCACTATTCCCAGAATGCCTAAAAAATGTTCACTTGCCTTCTCCATTACTATGCATGAAAAGAGGAAAATCACAATGCTATAATCTTTGTAGCTTACATTTTAGAAATTCATATAATTCATAATGATGGAGGAAAAGCCTCCTGTCACCTGACCTTATTGTAATCATTTATAAGCATTTAATAATAATGAGTTACTTCTGCAGTAGAAGATAAAGAGGTTTATAAACTTAATTGATTTTCTTGAGCTCCCAGTTTCCCAGAACAATCTCTTAAATCTTATATATGTAGTAAATTCTCAAACTTTGTCCAGAAATTCAGAATGAAGAACAAATCAACCTTTTTTGATCCTGAGGAAATAGTTGTTGAATTTATTCTAAACTCAAATGTTTACTAATTCACCCAATACATTATTTTGTATTAAGTAGAGCAGAGGATTTGGGCTAGGGGATTGTTGGAATAAGTGAGTTTGTTCATTGTGACTTGGAAGAAGTATGGATTTACTTTTAATTACTTCTTGTGTTAGTTTTACATTGCTGTGATAAAATACCTGAGAAAAATAACTGAAAGGAGGAAAATTTTATTTTAGCTCATGGTTTCAGAGATTTCAGTCCATGGTCAGGAAGATTCATTGCTTTGGGCCTGAGGCAAGGCAAAGCATCATGGTGATGGGCATGGTGGAACAAAGCAGCTCGTGTCATGGTAGTCAGGAAACAGAGTGGAGGAGAAAGGGACCAGGGACAAGAAATAGTCCCCAAGGACCTGCTACCTTCAACTTGGTCCTCTGTCCTACAATTTCCATCACCTCCCAATAACTTGTTCAGCTATGAATCCATTAATGGATCAATCCACTGATGAGAGTAGACTAGAGCCCTCATGATTCAATCATTTACCAAAAGCCCTACCTCTGACCATTGCTGCATTGAGAACAAAGTCTTCGACACATGAGCCTTTGGAGGACATTCCAGATCCAAACTACAACATTACTTCAGGCTCCATTGAAACATGCTTCCTTGAGCAAAAGAGCTGCCTAAAATGGATCACCAAATGTGTATGGAGGTTGAAAGTGTTAGTGGTGGGGCGTTGGAGGAAAGAGTTAGATAAAAAAGGGAAGTCATATTCTACTGAAGTTGCCTTCTTTGTGATTCCAGATCACAAGCACATCCTAATGGATAGACACACCTATTCCCTTCAGAACAAAGAAGCTCCAGTCCCGTTAAATCCCAGGAAGAACTCTTTGCTCGGTAATGCCTGTTTCTGTGTGCAAAAGGTACCCAGCCACACTTCCTGAAGAACAACATTTTATAAGAAAATGACATCACATGCTAACAATTCAATGTGAGAACTTTTGCATTCCTCCAAGTCCTCATTGTATTAATAACATGTTTTGGTCCCTTTTACCCCAAGTCTATAAGAGCATAGCCTTGTCTCTTTAATTCAATGGTAAATGTGATTTGAAATGTCTCATTCACTAAGGTTATTCTGTGTCCTCAAATACCAAAACATCTTATCACATGGTAGAGAGACTATTTTAAATTGATTGACTATGGTGAACATAGAGCTGCACCAACCAGTTGTCCCTGAAAGGGAAAGATTTGTTGCCTCAGTTGTCAACCCCTTCAGGGACTACCTTAGCTGTCAGGAGTCACTTTGCCCAAGGACATACTTCCCAAGGAGGCGGTTCACGTTTGGTACTTGATGAAGGCCCATGTTGTAAAGGGCTGGCTATCTTAATCCAGTGGGGGATGATTCTTATGAATATTGCTTACTCCAGAATTGTCCACAAGGTTGGCTGAGGCCCTTTTGCCTTGGAGACTGCTGATCCTTAATAAAGAGCCAGCTGCACAAACTCCATCTTAGTGTCAAGTCTTGAGAATTGAGCCTGTGACAACAATTTTATTTGCCTGTAAAAGGAAAAAAAAGTATATTATTTTCAGATCTAAGCTGTCCAGTTTCCTTGTGTGACCCATAATATTGAAGGGTTCAAATCATTGTTTTGCTTTCCTTTAAATGCAAGGTTTAAAAATATGTGCCAATACCTACTATGTGTCAGTAAGATACTAAATGCTAAAGATACTGGGATGAGAAATCATAGCCTTGTTTTTAATATGCACATAGGCTAGAAAGAATGAGAGATGACTTATAATAAGTGCAATAGTAATATACGAGATAATCTACAAAAAATAATCTGGGTGCCTGGATTTAATGCAGTCATTTTAATGTAAAGAAATATGACTTTTAATAATAACATTAGCACTTATACAGTACTAGCACTGATAATATCTCATTTGATTCTCAAAATATCCTTATGGCCAAAGTTAATTATTACAGAACTTCACAGATAAGAAACTAGAGTTCATCTTCTGGCTTCAAAGTCTGTGCTTTCTTTGCTAGTCCCCAAACTTTCATTTTTCTTCCTTTCTTTTTTTTGTTTTACTTCACATGGCTTTATTTTATTATTTTTAATGTTTTTATTACTGCATTATAGTTATACATAATATTGGGGCTCATCTTGAAATAATCATACATGTGTAGAATATAATTTGCTCCATATCAGTCCCTAGTACTTCCTCATTCCCTCCCCTCCTTTCCTGTTCTCCTTCCCCTACTCTACTGGTCTTCCTTCTCTTTATTTATAGTTTTTTTTTAAATGAGTGCTTTATAGATATGCATAAAGGTGAAATTCACTGTGATATATTAATACTCATACATAGCATAATTTGTTTAATATCATTCCACTGTTTCTCCCTTTCCCATCCCTCCTCCTTCCCCTTTAGTTCCCTTTATCTATTCCACTGATCTTTCTATTTTCATGGGACACTCCCTGCCAACACACTTTTCCCCTGTTATTTTGGTTTAGCTTCCCACATATGAGAGAAAACATTTGACTGACACTTTATGATTGTACATATTTATGGGGCAACAATTTGATGTTTCAATACATATATACATTGTGTAATGATCAAATTAGCATAGTTAGCATATCCAACACTTCATGCATTTATCATTTCTTTGCTGTGAGAATATTAAAAAATAACTTTTTTTCCTAACTCTTTTAAACTATATAACACCTTCTTGTTAACTATAGATACCCCACTATGAAATAGAACATCAGGACTTATTCTTCCTATCTACTTGTAATTTTATAGCCACTGACTGACCTCTCTGTATGCTCCTGCTCCCATCCCCTCTCCAATCTGTTGTCACTGTTCTACTCTTTATTTCTATATGAACAACTGTTTTTAGTTTCCACTTATGAATCTTTTTCCATTTTCTAAAGCATG